TGGGAATAAAAGGGGGAGAATGGGGAAAAAGGGAAATATGGGGGGAAATCGGGAAAAATGGAAATAAAGAGGGGAAAAATGGGAATAAAAATGGGAATAAAGGGGAAAAGCAGCTAAAGGCGCAAGCCCCGAGCGGGCGCGGGCTGGGGCGGAAGCGGCGCGGCCAGCCGGTAATTAACGGCGGCCGGTAATGAGCCCTAATGAGCCTGTCTAGACGGGGCCTTTGTCCCGCCGCGGTTCCGCCGCTTAACCCCGAACGCGCCGCGGAAAATCGGAATTTCGGGCGGGTTTGGCTTCGGATTCTGCTTTAATTTCGGGTTTGGGTGGGGTTTATCTGGAGCTGCTTTTTTTGGAGATTTTTTCCCTATTTTTTGAGGGTTTTAATTTGATTTTTTCCCCTTTTCGGGCTTGTTTTAATTCCCCTTGTTTTAATTTTTTTTTCTCTTCTTAAAATATTTAAATTTTTTACCTTTTTCCTTTCTTTTTTCTTTATTTCGGCCTTTAAAAACACATTTATCTTCGCTTTTCTTACCCTCAATTTTCTTTTTCCCCCTCTCATTTTAGCTTTTTTTGCCATCTTTGAAACTATTTGGGGCTTTTTTTTGTTTGGTTTTGGGGTTTTTTTTACCGTTTGGGGCTTTATTTTGGGTCCTTTTCCCCCTCTCATTTTAGCTTTTTTTGCCATCTTTGAAACTATTTGGGGCTTTTTTTGGTTTGGTTTTGGGGTTTTTTTTACCGCTTGGGGCTTTACTTTGGGGTTTTTTGGGTCTTTTCCCCCAGGCCGCGATGTCGCCTCTGACCTTTGTGTTTATTTTCATTTTCCCTTCCAAACAACTCGAACATTTTCAAGTTTTGGGCCCAGCAGAAGCAGCAAAAGCAAAGAGAAATAAAGGGAAATCAAAGGAAATACGGCAAGACAAAATAGAGGAGGAAAAAAGAGAAATAAAGAGAAAATAAAGAGAAAGAAAGACGAAAATAAACACGAATAAAGAGAAATAAAAAGAAATAAAATTCCTTTTCCCGTTTTAATCAGAACCAGCCCAGGCCGATCCCTCGCAGTTCTCGCACGGCTTTCATTTGGATTTAATTTGGATTTAATTTGGATTTAATTAGGATTTAATTGCGGTTTAATTGCGGCGGGCGCGCACCCGCAGCATTTTTGTGGTTTTTTCTCCATATTTGCCCCCATAAAACGCGGCCGCCATCAAAGCGGATTTTTTCGGGGTTTTTTGGGGCTTTTTTGGGGTTTTTTTGTTGTTTTTTCCTTGAAAGGCAGCCGGGGATTTTACAGGAGCGCGAGGTAAAGGGAATAAATGGGATTTTTGGGGCTTTTATCCCCCAAAGTCCAGAAAAACCGGACCGGAATGGGAATTTCTGCCCCAAAGCCGCGCCCTTTGTGCCCCCCCAGCGCCGGGAAAACAACAAAAATGGGAAAAACAACAAAAATGGGAAAACAACAAAAATGGGGAAAACGACAAAAAATTGGAAAAACAACAAAAAATGGGGAAAACAACAAAAATGGGAAAAACGACAAAAAATGGGAAAAGCGACAAAAATGGGAAAAACAACAAAAATGGGAAAAACGACAAAAAATGGGGAAAACCACAAAAAATGAGGAAAACCACAAAAAATTGGAAAAACACCAAAAACGGGAAAAGCAACAAAAAATGGGGAAAACCACAAAAAATGAGGAAAACCACAAAAAATGAGGAAAACAACAAAAAATGGGGAAAACAACAAAAAATGGGGAAAACCACAAAAACGGGAAAAGAACAAAAAATGGGGAAAACCCCCAAACCCCGCAGGTTTTCGAGGCCGCGGCTGTGACCTTGCGCCAGCCCGAACCTTGACTTTGCCGTTGCCGCTCGGAATTCGCCATTTCCGCCCCTTTTGGGCCGATTTCGGGGCATTTGGGGCGTTTTTGTCAACGAGAGGGAGGGGAAAAAATAAAATTAAAAATGTGAAAAAAGGGGGTTGGGTTATGAGGGGGAGGAATGGAAAAGTGGGGGAGGAATGGGAGATTTGGGCCAAAAATACGGATGGAAATAATAATAATAATAATAATAATAATAATAATAATAATAATAATAATAATAATAATAATAATAATAATAATAACAATAATAATAATAGAAAAATAATAATATAAGAATAATATAATATGAATAGGAATAGAAATAAAGATAGGAATAATAAAATATATGAATAAGAGTAAGAATAAGAGTAAGAAAATAATGATAATAATAAGAAGAAGAATAGGAATAGAATAATAAAATAATAAGAAGGATAAGAACAATTTTAAAAGCAATAAAGATCATGAAAATAAAAATAAAAAATAAATTAAAAAATAAATAAAATAGAAATAAAATAGAAATAAATTAGCAATTAAATAGAAATTAAACAGACTAAGAATAAGATAATATGAATAGGAATAGAAATAAAGATAGGAATAATAAAATATATGAATAAGAGTAAGAATAAGAGTAAGAAAATAATGATAATAATAAGAAGAAGAATAGGAATAGAATAATAAAATAATAAGAAGGATAAGAACAATTTTAAAAGCAATAAAGATCATGAAAATAAAAATAAAAAATAAATTAAAAAATAAATAAAATAGAAATAAAATAGAAATAAATTAGAAATTAAATAGAAATTAAATAGAAATAAAATAGAAATAAATAATAAATATAAAAAATAAAAATAAATAAACTAAATTAAAAATTACTAAAAAATAAGCATTAAAATAATAAAAAATTCAAATAAAACAGAAAACTAAATCTAAAATCCCATAAACCCGAGGGAAATGCAGGACTCCAATAACTCGGGATTTCCCGGGGGGCTCCGGAAGGGAAATTCCAATAAAAAGGTCAAATAAAAGTGACGGAGACCAGGCCCGAGCGTCTTTATTCCGCGCCCCCCGCTTTACACACGCACAAATTCGCTTTTTTTCGGCATTTTTCACCTTTTCCGGGATTGTTTTTTCCGCTTCTTCTTCGCCTCCCTTTTCGCGAGAAGAAAATGGAAATAAAATGGAAATCCGAAAGGAAACCGCGCCGGGGTTCTGTACAAAGCCTGGAAATGGGATTTTGCCCCAAAAATGAATTTTTCTGCCCATTCTTCCCCAAAGATGCGGGAATTCGGGGGTTTGGGGGGAAATTCTCCTTTTTGGCCCCAAATCTGGGGCTTGGGGAGGTTTTGGGGGTGGGAATTTCCAGGGCAGCGGCGGCGCCGGGGTTGGGGTGAAATTCCCGTGTGCCTGAAGGAGAATAAAAATAAAATAATAATAATAATATTACAATAATAATAATAATATAATATGTATAAAAAAGGAATCACAGACTGTCCGGGTGGGAAAAAAAAGGGGAAAAATAAAATTAAATAAAGTCCATGGAGTTCAAGTCCTTGAAATTCGGGGGGAAAATCAACAAAAAATCAGAAAAAAACAGGAAAAAATCAGAAAAAATGTGGAAAATAAGGAAAAAATCTGAGGAAATCAGGAGAAATCAGGAAAAATCAGGAGAAAGAAGAGAAAATCAGGAGAAGGAAAAATAAAGAAAACTCAGAAAAAAAACCCAGAAAAATCAGGAAAAATCGGGGGGAAAAAAAACCAGAAAAAATCAGAAAAAAATAAAATAAAATAAGAAGCATTTAAAACCAGAAAAAATCAGAATAAACCAGAAATAAATAAGAAAAAATATCAGAAAAAAAACCAACCCTGAAAATAACAGGAAAAAATATAGGAAAAAATCAGGAAAAAACAGAAAAAAATCAGAAAAAAAAAAAAAAAAAAACAAAAAAAAATAAAAAAAAACTGAAAAAAAACAAGAAAAAAATAAAAAAAAAACAAAAAAAAGTCAGAAAAAAACAGGAAAAAATATAGGAAAAAATCAGGAAAAATCAGAAAAATATCAGAAAAAAAAAAAAGGAAAAAATCAGAAAAAAGTCAGAAAAAATCAGGAAAAAATTAGAAAAAAATCAGAAAAAATCAGGAAAAAAATCAGAAAAAATCAGGAAAAAACCCAGAAAAAATCAGAAAAAAATCAGAAAAAAAATCAGAAAAAAAAAGAAAAAAATCAGAAAAAAATCAGAAAAAAATCAGAAAAAATCAGAAAAAAATCAGAAAAAATCAGAAAAAAATCAGAAAAAATCAGAAAAAAATCAGAAAAAATCAGAAAAAAATCAGAAAAAATCAGAAAAAAATCAGAAAAAATCAGAAAAAAATCAGAAAAAATCAGAAAAAAATCAGAAAAAATCAGAAAAAAATCAGAAAAAATCAGAAAAAAATCAGAAAAAATCAGAAAAAAATCAGAAAAAATCAGAAAAAAATCAGAAAAAATCAGAAAAAAATCAGAAAAAATCAGAAAAAAATCAGAAAAAATCAGAAAAAAATCAGAAAAAATCAGAAAAAAATCAGAAAAAATCAGAAAAAAATCAGAAAAAATCAGAAAAAAATCAGAAAAAATCAGAAAAAAATCAGAAAAAATCAGAAAAAAATCAGAAAAAATCAGAAAAAAATCAGAAAAAATCAGAAAAAAATCAGAAAAAATCAGAAAAAAATCAGAAAAAATCAGAAAAAAATCAGAAAAAATCAGAAAAAAATCAGAAAAAATCAGAAAAAAATCAGAAAAAATCAGAAAAAAATCAAAAAAAATCAGAAAAAAATCAGAAAAAAATCAGAAAAAAATCAGAAAAAAATCAGAAAAAAATCAGAAAAAAATCAGAAAAAAATCAGAAAAAAATCAGAAAAAAATCAGAAAAAAATCAGAAAAAAATCAGAAAAAAATCAGAAAAAATCAGGAAAAAAATCAGGAAAAATCAGGAAAAAATCAGAAAAAAATCAGAAAAAATCAGAAAAAAATCAGAAAAAAATCAGAAAAAAATCAGAAAAAATCAGGAAAACATCAGAAAAGCTCCGAACGAGCAGGAGAACTCTTCAGCCCCGAGGCGCCACTGTCCCCTCCAAGGCCGCGGCGTCTCGGGGATTTTCCCCCGGGATTTCACAACAAGGGGTTCCCCGAGAAGTACTGCAGGCGGTCCCGGCTCAGCTTCTTCTCCTTCATGCGGCGGTTCTGGAACCAGATCTTCACCTGGCGGTCGCTGAGGTTCAGCAGCCGCGACAGCTGCAGCCGCTTCTCCTTGCTGATGTAGACGTTGAAGAAGAATTCGCGCTCCAGCTCCCGGATCTGGAACTTGGAGTACGGGCAGCGCTTCTTGCGCGTCCGGGGGGCGCCTGGGGACGGAATGGGGTGAGACTGGGGGAAATGGGGTGGGAAGGGGAGCGTGGGGGATGGGGGAATAAACTGGGAAAATAACCCCGGAAAATGTGGGGTTGTGAATGGGAAGGGTGGGGGGAAATGGGGGAAATAACCCGGGAAAATGGGGAAAATAAACAGGGAAAATGGGGAAAATAACCCCAGAAAATGTGGGATTGCAAATGGGAAGGGTGGGCTGGAAATGGGGAAAATAACCTGGGAAATATGGGGAAAATAACCCCAGAAAATATGGAATTATAAATGGGAAGGGTGGGGGGAAATGGGGAAAATAACCCGGGAAAATGGGGAAAATAAACAGGGAAAATGGGGAAAATAACCCCAGAAAATGTGGGATTATGAATGGGAAGGGTGGGCTGGAAATGGGGAAAATAACCCCAGAAAATGTGGGATTGCAAATGGGAAGGGTGGGCTGGAAATGGGGAAAATAGCCTGGGAAATATGGGGAAAATAACCCCAGAAAATATGGAATTATAAATGGGAAGGGTGGGGGGAAATGGGGGAAATAACCCGGGAAAATGGGGAAAATAAACAGGGAAAATGGGGAAAATAACCCCAGAAAATGTGGGATTGCAAATGGGAAGGGTGGGCTGGAAATGGGGAAAATAACCTGGGAAATATGGGGAAAATAACCCCAAAAAAATGTGGGATTATGAATGGGAATGGTGGGGGGGAAATGGGGAAAATAGCCTGGGAAAATACGGAATTATAAATGGGAAGGGTGGGCTGGAAATGGGGAAAATAACCCGGGAAAATGGGGAAAATAACCCCAAAAAATGTGGGATTATGAATGGGAAAGGTGGGGTGGAAATGGGGAAAATAGCCTGGGAAAATACGGAATTATAAATGGGAAGGGTGGGCTGGAAATGGAGAAAATAACCCCAGAAAATATAGGATTGTAAATGGGAAAGGTGGGGTGGAAATGGGGAAAATAGCCTGGGAAAATGGGGGAAATAACCCGGGAAAATATGGGATTGTGAATGGGATAAATAACCTGGGAAAATGTGGAATTATAAATGGGAATGGTGGGCTGGAAATGGGGAAAATAACCTTAGAAAATGTGGGATTATAAAAGGGGTGTGTAGCCAGAAAAAGGGATAAATGTATTGAAAAAATGAACAATTAAAAAAGGGATGGGTGGCCAGAAAATGGGGTAAAGATACTGAAAAAAACCCCAAAAAAAAACAAATAATGGGGAGCCCAAAAAAGGAATAAATGTCCTGAAAGGATAAATAATCCCAAAAAGGGATGGGTAGCCCCAAAAGGGATGGAAAACCCCAAAAGGGATAAAGAATAAATAACCCAAAAAGAACAAATAACCCCAAAAGGAACAAATAACCCCAAAAGGAGTAAATACCCCAAAATGAATAAAGAATAAATAACCCAAAAAGGAACAAATAACCCCAAATGAACAAGTAACCCCAAAAAGAATAAATAACCCCAAAAGGAATTAATACCCCAAAATGAATAAATACCTCAAAAGGAATAAACAACCCCAAAAAGCATAAATACCCCAAAAATGAATAAATACCCCCAAAATGAATAAATACCCCCCAAAACGAATAAATATCCCGAAAGACTCAACAACCTCGAAAGGAATAATTCCCCTAAAAGGAACAAATCCCCGAAAAATGAACAAATGCCCCAAAAATGAACAACCCCCCCCCAAAAAGCTGAAATCGCCCAGGGAGCGGCTGAAATTTGGGATTCCCGGGGGGGCTCGGGAGCGCTGTGGGGCGGATTTGGTGGGAATTCCTCAGCCCGAGCGGGGATTAGGGCAGATTTGGGGTTTTTTTGGGGGGAAAAGCCGCGTTTGGGGGGGTTTAGGGCGGGTTTTGGGGGTTTAGGGCGGGTTTGGGGGGGTTTGCTCTGGAAAGGGGAGTTTGGTCCTTCAGAATGTGGAGGAGCTAAAAGAGGGGACCTTTCTCAGCTGTCCAGGAGAGAAGGGCAGGGGGGGTTTGGGCTGCATTTGGGGTGCCAAAAATCCCAAAAGGGAAACAGCCCCAAAAATCCCAAAAGGGAAAATAGACCCCAAAAATCCCAAAAGGCAGAACAGCAAAAAATCATCCCCAAAAAAATCCCAAAAGGCAGAACAGCCTGAAAAATATTCCAAAAGGGAAAACATGCCCCCAAAATGATCCCGAAAGGGAAAACATCTCCCCCAAAACAGACTCCAAAAGGCAGAACAGCAAAAAAATCTCAAAAGGGAAAACATCGCCCAAAAAACCCCAAAAGGCAGAACAGCCCAAAAAAACACCCCAAAAGGGAAAACAGCCCCCCAAAATAGATCCCAAAAGGCAGAACAGCAAAAAAAAATCCCCCCAAAAAACCCCAAAAGGCAGAACAGCCCGAAAAGTATTCCAATAAGGAAAACATCCCCCCAAAAACGATCCCAAAAGGGAAAACAGCCCCAAAAAGCATCCCAAAAGGCAGAACAGCTCAATAAAACCGCCCAAAAGGGAAAATATCCCCCAAAAATATCCCTAAAGGCAAAACATGCTCCAAAACCATCCCCAAAGGCAGAACAACGCCAAAAAACATCCCAAAAGGGAAAATATTCCCCAAAAATTCCCCAAACCGTCCCGGATTCCCGGAGCGGCGCCCGGGGAGAGGGAAATCAAATCAAATCACATCAAATCAAATCAAATCAGATCAAATCAGATCAAATCAAATCAGATAAAATCAAAGACCCAGACCAGATCTCCAATCCAATTTAAAGTCCGGATTTGGGGCGACCCAAAGGGAAATCCTCTCCTGCCAAAGCCGGGCTCGGGAGCGGGGGAGGAAAAATCCGGGGAAATTCTCCTTTTCCCCCCAAATTTCCGCGGTTCCTCCCGCGCCCCGCGGCCGCCCGGGCACGCAGGGCTCGGCAGCGAGTTTTAATTAGCAATTAATGAAAGGCGCGGCCGCGGAGCGCGGGGAAGCCGCGGTTCTGCCCCATTGCCTCTGCCCCCGGCAGCCCCGAGCCTTTAAACGCCGCCTAAGTTCACGATCAAAGTTAATATTTGTCACCCGGCCGCGCTTTTAAAATTTCACAGACTCCGAGCGAGCCGGGGCCGCGCTCAGCACCCCGCTTTACCTTTGCTTTTCTTTTTTTTGCTTCTCCCACCGCTTTTTTTTTTTTTTTCCCGTTTTTTTTTCCGTCATCGTAAAAAAAAAAAAGAGGGGAGAGAGAAAGAAGAAAGCGCTTCGGAGCTTCTCGTAAAATCCTGGCCGCGCTTATAAAACTGCACATAAAAAAGCTGGGCTCGCCAAAGCCCGGCCGGGCTGGGCTGGCCCCGCTGAACCGGGCTGGGCTGGGCTGGGCTGGGCTGGGCTGAGCTGGGCTCGGCTCGGCTCGGCTCGGTTCAGCCCGGCTCGGCTCGGCTCAGCCCGGCTCAGCCTGGCTCGGCTCGGCTCAGCCCGGCTCGGCTCGGCTCGGCTCAGCCCGGCTCAGCCCGGCTCGGCTCGGCTCTACCTACTCTGGCCGCCGCTCTTGGAGCCCTCCTTGGCCCCGGCGGCCGCGGCCGCGCCGGGGTTGGCGCTCTCCTCCTCCTCCTCCTCCTCTTCCTCCTCGTCCTGCGCGGTGCCCTGCGCGCCCTTCGCGCCGCCCGCGCAGTCGGGCGCGCCCAGCGCGGAGCTCTCGCAGAAGCGCTCGAAGCCCTGCGGCAGCGCCGCGCCCCGGCCCGCGCCCGCGTAAAACCCCGCGGCCGCCGCCTGCTGCTGCTGCTGCGGCTGCTGCGGCTGCGGCTGGTGATGATGATGATGGTGGTGGTGGTGGTAGCCCTCGCTCTTCATCAGCACCTCGGCGGGCGGCAGGCACTCGCGGGGCACCAGCTCCTCCGCGGGGTAGCACGCCGCGTAACTCCCGCGCGGCGGCCACTTGCCCGCGGGCTCCAGCGCGTAGGGCACCTCGCGGGGCACCTGCGGCAGGCCGGGGTACGCGTAGGGCAGCGCGCGGCCGGCGCCGAACGGGGGCACGGCGGGCAGCTCGGGCACGTAGCAGCCGCAGCCGGGCACGCACAGGCCGGCCCCGCGCTCGCCGAAGTCGCCGCCGGCAGCTCCGCGCTCCTTGCGCGCCTGCGAGGGGCAGAAGCTGCCCAGGCTGACGGAGTTGAACATGCCGGCCCCGCGCCGCGCGCCGGCCTTTTTGGGGTTTTGTTTTTTTATATATAAGCCGCGCTGCTCGGGCTTGAGAGGGGTTTTTTCTTTTTTTTTTTTTTTTTTTTTTTTTTTT